CCATTGAGTTTGGTGCAACAAACGCACCCTTAGTTTCCTCAGGGTCCGGGGTTGACTTTGAGGGTTTAATGTTTTAGAAGGTCCATCAAGGTTTGGGGTTGATTATTTTAAGTGTAGAGTTTTAGAATGTATTTAAGGGAAGCTTAGGGCTTAGGGTGTAGGTCTCGAGTTTTGAGCACAACCCAAAATCCTAGAACTATACCCTAGGCACTAAGCGATTTACACAATGAAACTTTTTTCTTCTAAAAAAGTTTTACGTTTGCATGTTAGTCACAATTCATTGGGAATGTTAATAGATATGGCCTTATTGGTAGGATTGGGTATTATTGTCGTTTTAACAAATTAGTTTAACTTTTCAATTAGTACCTATATAAAAAATATGGTATTTTATTTTATTTTATTGGAGGAAAAAAATATGGTATTTTAGTTTAGATTTCTTTTAAATATTTAAACTAAAAGCTCCCATTGTTTTGTGTGCTCAATGATATATTTGTTAAGTTCAACGATATATTTTACACTAAGGGGAGTGACGTTGGGTTAAGCTATACAGTGGACAACCTAATTTGAAATCAAATTCGCTATTTACAAGATTCAAACCTAAAACCTTTCACTTACAAGTGAAGTGAAGAAGAATACCACATACCGTAGTACTGAGTGGCGTGTGCTCAATAATATTAATCCAGAGGTTTAAGCTTGTTAGTGGAATCACGAGCTAGATTTTGTTTAGTGACACTTTTCTTCCTATAGTTCGGAATTAGAACTTGAAACTCTTTCAAAGTTTAATATGCATATTTTTCTCTAAGAGGAGATTTGAAGTTTCAATTTTCTCAAACTATAGGAATCCGAATTGAATAATATCGTGGATACGGTGTGAGTTATTATCAACCCGCCAACTTGCACAGTTGCACGTTACATTCCATACAAGAAAAAGAAAAGGTTTGGTAAGCCTTCACGTGTTGTGTGCTTATCTTTAGAACTAGAGCATTACTTGACTTTCCACGGTTGCGCATGCTATACAGTGAATCTCAATGGTATTGCAAACTAAAGAAAAACAAAATGATGGTCTACTTTCTTGAACACAAAATCTTAAGACGGGTCTATTTATGGGAGATTATCTTACTAATATTCGACCATTTGCATACGACAATGGAGATAATTAGATGGGACCAACTCATAATAGGTAGACTCAAAATAGAAAAGTCTCACATACGTGTGAATATGGTCGCATGATCAAGTGGTCTGCGTACAACATACCTAAAAACTTACCCTAATTATGGGGCGTAAATAATATTGTTTTTTCCTTTCTTTCTTACGAGGTCTTTGTCACATGGACTCGGTCACTCAGGTTCGACCTAATCTTTGTTTCTCTTCAACAAAGCAATTTCACGAAATTTTAAAAACAATAAAGAAACTTCATACTTCCTAACAAAATTTAAAGCAGAAAAGTGAGAAAGATAAAGCAAATTTAACCATATTTAAGGATACGGTCACTATGTTTGACAAAAAAAAAAAAAAATAGTCAGTTTGTTTCTCTAGTTTGGTCAGTCAGGCCATGATCTATCCTAATGATTTTGGCGTAATTATATTGGTCTTGAACTATTGAGCGTGTTAATCGTGGTTTATGACAGTGATTGTTTGAGTCTTCGTAACGGTTCTATTTGTACATCTAAAGCTGTTGTGGCTCCCTCTCTAGTAGCTTGGGCTTCCTAGGCCTTGCCCTTGTAGGCTATGGCTCGGTCAGCTGGTTTTTGGGTCTTGTGGTGGTGGCAGGGAATAGGTTTGTGATGCGATGCGGTTTATGCAGGTTATAGGCTCGTGATGCGGTGGCAACGACGGTGGCTCTTGCATGGAACTCATTTGCCACCCAAGCCTCTATTTATTTTCGACCCTATGTTCCTGCAACGCTTACCGCATGCCACATTTGTAACCGCTGCTTCATTGTCGACACTTTATCGCCTTTAATTAGTTTTTTTTTTTTTTTTCTTGTAGCGCTTGAAGCAAGTTTTAGTAGCTTTTGTGTTGCGTCAACGATTTGTTTGTGTTGCTTCGGTGATTGTGGTGGCCTCGTTATTTGCAATGGTTTTATGTGAGGGCGTCGTTGCTTAGTCTGTTGCTTTCAGCTGTTTTTGTGACTGATCCACTTCGGGATCCTTGGTTATGTTGGTATATATATTGTGGTACCGTGTGGGCTTTTAAAATTATTTTTGATTTGTGCGAATTATCTCTAGATCAAGAAATTAGTCATTAGAGCAAATGTACTCATATGACACCTCTTGTATTTAATTGGTCTTGATAATGAAACACTCTACGTTAAAAACCAAAAGTAAAAGATCAGAGGTAAACTGTTTTTTGCCATCATTATTTTTATTTTCTTTTCTTTTAAATGCAGCTAACCAATTACATTTTTTTTGTTTTTTGTTTTTAACCAAAAGAAACAATACATTAAAGAGAAAAACCTCGATAACATCCGTTCCTTACAGAATCAAACTGAATAGCATTTAAAGCAAAGGAGGGTACAGTGATCCCAAAAATGACAATCAGAAATAAGGAGGCCCTGAGGAGCAAAGGCATCAGCAATAAAGTTGGCATCTCTAAAAATATGATTCCAACAAATACTACTAAATTTAGCCGTCATCCACTAAATATCTTCAGTAATATGCACTAAATTTCAAGGTGTCGCTCCTCCCCAACATTGCTTGAACGACCAATTTAGAATCACCCTCAATAATGAACTTCGTAACACCCTTTCTTAGAGAGGCCCTCCCTTAGAACCCTAGCTTCCACCTTAGAAATGGTGGCCCCATCAAGATTTAAAGCTCTGCTAACAATGAGAATCCCATTATGATCCTTAATAGCAAAGCCCGTTGCCGCCATTGCCTCCTGCCATTGAGCTATCAAAATTTAATTGGACATAATCCTTGTCCAGAGGTGTGATATATGGTAATGGCAACCCAAACTAGTGGACTGGAGATCCCAAGATCTAGGTTCAAAGGGACAACCGAATTGTGGATGATTCAATAGGAGCACTACGGAGATTATCTCCTACCCATGTCCTATGATGAAATAGTGATATCTGCAGCATATTTAGGATAAGCTTTGCTTTTAATGATTCCTATGCTTGGAAATAACAAGTGGGTATTGCAGGATACTCTTAATGGGAAGTCACCTATCTTGAGTGAGGAATTGGGCCGTTCATGTGAGAATTTTTTGAAGGGCTTAGTTCTCTAAAAGCACTCATGAGAAACCAAGAATTGTTCAGGGCCAAAATGAACACAATCGAGCAACCACGGGGTGTCTGGAAGGGTATTGTGTGATTACTATTGTCTTGGTTTACACAAACGGCTGAGCAGTTCAAGACATCGCGTTCACTGATTAGCCAAGTAAATCCGATAGTAATTCACTACGGAAGGTTCAAAGCCAAAAGCCCCATATCCCGATGCGGTACTTTCCCTATTGAATTCTCTCTCTAGTGTCTGCATTGTCATGTGCATGGTATTTAGTCAATTTCCATTCATATGGGGGATTGTTGGAAAATTTAATAATATTATTATTATATTAAATTTATTAATTGAATGGAAATTAGAAGTGGAGCCTTTTGGTAGAAAGATGTGTCACTCAATGAAGAGTTGCAACTTTTGACCCTTAATGAATGATCACATGCTTTCCAAAAAGGTATCTCACATTCTATAAATAGGGAAGCCCCCTATAATCACACAAGAACTTTTTGTCATACATATAGTGTATTAAATATTAGAGAGCCTCATTGAGTCCATATAAGAGAGTTTTCAACACAATCGTGGTTCATGGAGCCTTGTGATTTGGAGTGCTACTATTACAAAGACGTGGTCGTTGTATCTTGGGAGACATGCGCTGATCAACCATGAGCACCGTAGTGGGGCATAAACTTGTCTTAAGGACAAAGTGTAAAACACTTGCCTCAACTGTATTTCCAGGTTTTTCTAGTCCATTATGTTATGTTCATCTAAATTTGGTTACTCATGTGCATGCATTACTTTGATATATAATTGCATGAATTATTTCTTGATTTTATATGTGATTTAATATATCAATTAGACCTAATTTTTCCAACAAAGAATCCAGCCAATCCACAACAAAGAAAAAATTGTTGGTATTAAAACTACCAGGCGCAACATAGACTAAATTCCAAACCAGTTGAGTAACTCTGCAGTTAACAAATAAATGCATTTGGTCTTCCTCTTTCAAATTACAAAAAGGACACATTTTATAAATATTAGTCATAAAGAGACTTAATCTTTTTCTTGTCTGAAGTCTCTCCATAGTAAACAGCCACAAAAACATCTTCACTTGGAGGAAGGGGGATATTAAGCTTCTACATCTTATTAATTACCTTATGTCTAGCTAATTGCAACAATGTTCCTTTTTGGATCCAAGTAGCCGACTTAAAAGAGAACTTACCATCGATAGTAGGGCCCCAGATGAACTTGTCATCGGTTTGTTAAATAGGAATATGAATGTTACAGATTTTTTTCACCACCTCATAGCTGACTACTACAGAGAGCTTTTCCTATCCCATCCGTTATTATCAATGAAATCACTCACTTTCAAATCCCTGACCATTACCCACCCTCCACCTCAAACCTTCAAGCAAAGGAGTAATTTTGTCTAATTTTATTTTCCAAAAATTCCTTACTACGAAGATATTTGCTTTTAACTTCACCCACCAATTAGTATCATCAATGAACACCTTCGAGCCTAACTTAGTAAGACAAGCATTGTTAAAATAATCCATATATCTAACTCCTAGTCCACCAATATTATTGGGAGTACACGGTATCCCAGGCCACTAGGAAGATCTTTCTATCCCTTCCTTAAAAGAAATCCCTGCATTCGTTATTGATGTTACTCAAAATCTTATCTGGGCATATCCGTTTTCCCCCTACCTATTCTTGTTAGTTAGTGAAGTGTTATCACTTCGTATCCAGCAGGCTAGTGATAGAGGTTGGATCAGAGGAGTCCAAATGAACAAGCCTGGCCTGACAATATCCCATATTTTCTTTGCTGACGATACTCTGATTTTCCTGAGAGCTAAGGAGGAGAACTGTCGGAAATTATCCCAAGTCATTGATGATTATTGCTTGGCGTCGGGTCAAAAAGTTAATAAGTCAAAGTCAAGCGTATTTTTTGGAAACAATGTGCCTGAGTCTTTATCATTTCATTTGACGAACATCCTGAGTATGGAGAGGGTTGGAGATCCAGGTGTCCACCTGGGGGTTCCCGCTATTTGGGGTTGTTCGAAAAAAAGTGGGCTAGCCTATGTTAAAGAAAGATTATTGGGTAAGCTCAGGGGATGGAAGAAAGCCGCTCTCTCTCAAGTGGGGCGGGAGGTCCTCATAAAAGCGGTGGCGCAAGCAATCCCTGCATATCCTATGAACTTATTCAAGTTTCCTACTTCTCTATGCAATGAGTTGGATGCCATGATATCAAAGTTCTGGTGGGGGCAAAAAGATGGTGAACAACGTATTCATTGGGTTTCTAGAGAGAAATTGGGATGGGCGAAGGATATGGGCGGGTTAGGTCTTAGGAGTTTCAAGGTGTTCAACTATGCCCTGTTGGCTAAGCAGTGTTGGAGATTAATTGAGGAGCCGAATTCTCTGTGGGGTTTGGTGCTTAAGGCACGGTACTTCCCTAATTGTTCATTCATGGATGCTAAAAGGGGTGGGAGAGCCTCTTGGGCCTGGTCTAGCCTCCTCACTGGAAGGGACATTTTACGTAATGGAGCTCATTGGCAGATTATGAGTGGAAATGAGGTTAAGGTATGGGTTGATAGATGGATCCCGTCTATTCCAATGAGAAGACCTTCTCCATCGGGGACGGTACAGGTTTCTAATAATTTGGTGGTTAATTCGCTGATTTGCTCTGAGAATAGAATGTGGGATATTGATTTTCTGAAGCCGTTCCTGGAAAGGTCCGAGTTTGATGTTATCCTTAAGACCCATATTGGAGACCCTTTGTTACGTGATCGTTTGGTTTGGCCCCTAGATAAAAAAAGGGTATATTCAGTTAAATTCGGATATAAATGGGTGGTTGGTCGAAATCTGCCCCATGGGGGTATTAATATTGGATCCTCGGTCACCATTCCTGCCCATCTATGGAAGTGTGTGTGGAAACTTGAGGCTTCTCCAAAAATCAGATGCTTTTTATGGAAGACCTTTCAGGAAGCTGTGGCTACTATGGCAAACCTCTTCCGAAGAAGATCTTCCCCATCTCGTTATGCCCGATTTGTAAGAATCAGGATGAAAGAATTGTACATCTATTTTTGCAATGCCCGTGGGTGGAGGCTGTTTGGTTCGGGGGAAGCTTGGGTATGAGGATTAATCAGACGGATACTTCTTCTTGGGCAGGTTGGTTGCTCTAGAGGTTTGATTCAGCGAAGGGATCGATTGAGGTGAGAAACAATATGCTCTCATATATCACTTTCACTTGTTGGCATATATGGAAATCCCGATGTAATATGCAATTCAACCAGCAACCAATTCATCCTACGCAGGTTATTTTGGCCATTTCTTTATTGGTCTCTACATTCAAAGAAGCCCAGGGTGGTCCTTATACTACGCCTCCACCTCGTGGCCTGGATCAATTGGTTGATGTTTGTTGGTCTCCTCATTGTCCAGGTTTCGTTAAGATAAATGTGGATGCTAGCTGGGGATCATGTGATGGACAGGGATTCATGGGTATTGTTGCACTGGATGAGGAATGGAGGTTTCTTGCTGCTAGTAGATCAGGTGTGAAGGCTACTAGTGTGGCTATGGGAGAGGCTATGGCAATCTTGCACGGGTGTATGCTTGGCAAGAGGATGGGATGGAATAAGATTATTTTAGAGACCGACTCGTTGGAATCGATTTCTTGCCTTAGGGACATGGCTAAGAAAGGCAGTTGGGATGCCTTCCCCTCTCTTCTGGATTGTGTTAGATTGGGAAAGGAGTTTCTTGATTGCCGCTGGTCTTGGGTTCCAAGACCGGCCAATTCGGCAGCGGACCATTTGGCGTCGCGAAGTAGTAGGGAAGTATGTGATCATGTGTGGGTTAATAGACCCCCATCTTCCTTGGTTCATGTTTTGTGTAACAACGGTTTACCTTGTCCGCCTTAATGGTTTGTGGTATTGCGTGAAGGGACGCTCTAGCATTTGTTGCAGCGTCGTGTTTTCTCTGTAACCTCCTCGCTCTACCCTTTCCAAGTAGTTTTTGGCTGTTTGCTTCGGTGTAGGCTCTCTTTGTACTGTTTGGCATCTTTGCTCGGTTATTGAATCTTCTGTTTTCCAAAAAAAAAAAAACAGTCATCAACAAAAAGTAAATTTGAAATTTTAAGTTAGTGAAGTGCTAATTTAGTCATTGAACTATCATTCAATGAAAATTAGGTCCTTACATTATTTTTTTGGTAAAATAAGCCTCTAAGTTCATTAAAAATTGTTAATTTCATCCCTACTATTATATTCAAAGCTATTTTATCCAATGTTTTGTCAACTTAAGTCACTTGGCACACTTTAGAGTATAATACCGTCATTTTCTAGCCCATAAGCCCTTAACATTTTATATAGGTTGCGAATCTAATATCTAATTTACCCTCCGAATCTGATGTCTAATTTACCCTCCAAAGTTAACTCCATAAACTATTTCTTTATGAAAAATTACCAATCTATCTTCCAAAGTGTATCACATGCAAGTAAAGTGACTTAAATTGACAAAAAATTGAATATAGTATCTTCAAATCTAATATTAGGGATGTAATTGACATATTTTTATAATTCAATGACTGATTTTTCTGGAAATTTTTTATGGACCTAATTTTCACTCAGTTGATAATTGAGGGACTAAATTGGCAGTTCACCCTTTTAAGTCTTCGAGGGGAAGACAAAATTCCAACATGGGACTTAGTATAACCAGCAAGCGCATTAAGATGTCTAATTAAAGGTTCCACACAAATAATGAAAATATAAGGAAACAAGAGGGTCCCTTTGTCTAATTCCTCTTTTCGGGTAGATAACCATGAGCACTACCATTAATTAAAATGGAGAAAGATGAAGAAGTAATGTAGCCCATGACCAAAGAAAGTCAATGATTATCAAAACCAAATCTATGCGGAAAATACCTAATGTAGTCCCAATTTAAAAACTAATACGTTCTTTTTCCAAATCCAACTTGACACCCATTGCTCTAATTTGTCCTCTCATTCTATTAAAACTTGCAAACATTTCATGAGTGATTAGAATGTTATCCTGAATAAATCTTCCAGGAGCAAAAGCCCCCTGATTTTGAGAGATACAAAGATCCATGAGCGGTTTCAATCGTTTTGTAATAATCTTAGTCATTATTTAATAATTATCATTACACAAACAAATGGGCATGTAATTACTAACAGTTTCCAGGTTATCAATTTTAGGGGACAAGGTGATATTAGTATGATTTATGAGTCTTAAGGTGATATTAGTATGATTTATAAGTCTTAAACTAGTTCCATTATGAAAAAAAAATCTTTCATCAAATAAATAACAAAGTTCTTAATTAGACCCCAGCAACCATGAAAGAAGCCAGCACTGAGTCTATAGGGACCAGGGGCTTTAAGAGTGTTAATCTTCATGAATTGAACTGTATATCTTTATGTAATCTTTCTGTAGTATGCAAGAACTAGAGAGAGAAATTAGAGAGAGAAGAAGCAGAATGAAGAAGAGAATTTTCTGTAAAGTATATTTCTTTCTTACTAAGTAATACAACAACCTTGCCTTACATAGACAGTTACAAAACTAGTCACTAACTAACTAATACACCAAGATTGTGACAAGCGTCACAATCATGGACCATTGAATATACTTTAACATCCCCCCGCAAGCTCATGCTTTAATGAACTAAGCATGAGATTGATACAATGAGTTCTAAACAAAGGACTACTTAAACGTTTGGTCAATATATCAGCAAATTGTTCTTGGGACGAAACAAACTGCACTGTCAACTGTTCCTTGGCCACTCGTTCTCGAACAAAATGAACATTGATTTCAATATGCTTAATCTTCTGGTGTTGCACATGATTAAATGATAGGGCAATAGCTGACAAGTTATCACAGAAAAGAACTAGAGGTATAGTCATGGGAATATGCAGAAATGCAAGCAGTTGCTTAATCCAATCCAATTCTACAGAAGTTGAAGAAAGAGCTCTATATTCTGCTTCAGTAGATGATCTAGACACGGTTTTTTGTTTCTTTGAGGACCAAGATATGGGATTTGAACCTAAAAACACAACCAACCCCGTAGTGGACCGTCTGTCATTGGGATTTCCTGCCCAATCTACATCACTAAAGGCCTTGAGGTGAAGATCTCATCGAGTATAGGTAACACCCACATTCATTGTACCTTTTAAGTACCTGAGAATTCGTTTTACAGCAGTATAATGAGCAACCATAGGTTTCTGCATAAATTGGCATACCTGATGCACTGAAAATGCAATGTCAGGTCTAGTGAAAGTAAGATACTGTAAAGCTCCCACAATACTCCTATAAGCACCAGGATTAGCATAAGGATCACTATCATCTTTAAGAAGGCGATTATATGGAAGGTATGGTGTGTCACAGGCCTTTGCTTCAAGCATTTCAGTCTTCACTAACAAATCATGAATGTATTTAAACAATCCACTGGTAATCTTAGAAATCTGAATGCCCAAGAAAAAAAATGTAAAGGCCCTAGATCTTTGATATCGAACTCAGTAATAAGAGCACTGATAACCTGTGGAATTGAAGTTGTAGCACTCCCAGTTATGATTATAGTGATGATTATATCATCTACATAAAGCAGAAGGATCACAACTATATTTTCAACATATTTGACAAACAGAGAAGAATCTGCATATGTATTGACAAATCCCAACTTAGGCAAGAACTTTGTAAATCGATCATTCCAAGCTCTAGGAGTTTGCTTCAAGCCATAGAGGGATTTATGAAGTTTGCACACTAAATGAGAATTAATGGGATCCTGAAAACCAGGTGGTCGAGCCATATAAACTTCTTCTTCCAAAACTCCATGCAAGAATGCATTTTTAACATCCAATTGTCTAAGATCCCAACCAAAATTTGCAGCAAGAGCAAGTACTAACCTCACAGTAGTAGGTTTAACCACAGGGCTAAAAGTCTCACCATAATTCAAACCAGGTTCTTGACTAAACCCCTTAGCTACCAAACGAGCTTTATGTTAAGCAATAAATACATCAGAGTGTCTTTTGATTTTGAAGATCCACTTACAGCCAACAAGATTTTTAGTAGATGGCAAAGAAACCAGAGTCCAAGTACCCTGAGCTTTAAGAGCATCCAGTTCTTCTTGCATGGCCTTGAACCATATAAGACTTTTAAGAGCTCACTTATAAGAGCTTGGTTCAATTGTGGACAAATCAATCCCCTCAGAATCTTGAATAGATGCTAGTAAAACATTCTTCTTAAAAATACCACTTTTGCTTCGAGTTTTCATTGGATGCAAATTGATTGAAGGAATATCCAAAACAGAGAGAATCAGGATGAAACTCAGTGTTCTTAGTACATATTATAGTATTTGGATTAGGTACCACAGGGAGCTAAGAAGAGAATTCAGGTGCACTAGTAATGGACTGAGGATTAAGTGAAGGATTTGGATGAATATCTGGTACTGATACTGGTGTATTAGAAGATATTGGTGATGGGGACACAATGACATTGTTTGTATTAACCATTGCTATGGGAATGGAAGATGAAGTGAGAACTGATGAATTAGATTCAGTAATGGTGGATTGTATCACTAAATCTGCATATAGAAACTGGTGTTCATAAAAAATAACATGCTTAGAAATGTAAATCCTTTTCTTAGGCACATCATAACACATATAACCCTTTATACTTAGAAGCATATCCTAGAAAAAAACACATCTGGTGGTTTTGGGTTGAAGTTTGGTGTTGTTGAATGGTTTTAACGAAAGGGGAACAGGCACAACCAAATATTCGAAGATGAGATATTAATGGATCACTACCAAATAAAAGTTCAAATGGTGACATATTTTTAAGAACAACAGTTGGCATTCTATTTATAAGATAGGTAGCAGTTTGACAAGCACAAGACCAAAATTGATGTGGCAGTTTAGCAGTTTGCAATAATCTCACAGTGGTTTCTATAATATGCCTATGTTTGTGTTCAGCTAACCCATTTTGTTCAGGTGTGTATTGACATGACTTATGATGAACAATACCTTTGTTAAGAAGAAAAGATTGAAGCCTATGATTCATATACTCTCCCCCACCATCACTTTTTAAAATTTAAATTGTAGTAGAGAACTGATTAAGTACAAAAGAATAGAATGCAAGAAAGGTAGAGTACAGATCAAACTTGTTTATCAATGGAAAAAACCAACAATGTCTGTTATATTCATCAATGAAGATTACATAATATTTGTAACCATCACCAGAGACACAAGGTGCAGGACCCCATAGGTCATTGTGCACAATTTCAAAAGGCTTAACAGACTTACTGACATGAGTTGGAAAGGGTTATTTGCTAAATTTTCCTTCAAGACAATGATGGCACAAAACAGATGACTTAGAAGGGGTACTAGGTACATTGGCTTTATTTAACATAAGAGAAACAACATGGTTGGTTGGATGACCTAACCTATGATGCCAAAGCTGAGATTTAACAAGTTGTCCCAGAAAAGCTTTTGCATATGGTTGACTTTGTGAAGTACCGGAGTTGGTATATGAAAGGGAATGAATATGGTATAGTCCATTACTACACAGCCCTTTGTAGAGAATCCTCCATGTGGCCTTGTCCTAAATCCAAAAACAAATCAAAGATTAGCCAACAATTATTATCAAGGCAGATCTTATGTACTGACAGTATATTTTGTGTTAACTTGGGAACATATAACACATAATTTAATTTGATTGGTTTTGCTGGAGTATGAATGATAAAATTCCCAATAAGGGAGACTTGTAAACCTTCACCATTGGCAGTTTGTATGGTCTCACTAGTAGGATAGGGTGATGTCAAGGATAAGTTGCTCATGTCAGTAGTCATATGATTGGTTGCTCCAGAATCAGTCAACCAAACTTGTGAAGGTGCTGATGGAGTTGCAGTTTGAGGTGTA